CTCCCTGCTCGGCGGGGAGCCTGCTTCTCCCTCTGACCCTCCCCCCTCTCATGTGCTCTCTCTCTCTCATTCTGTCTCAAATAAATAAATAAAAAAAAATCTAAAAAAAAAAAAAAAGATAATTCAACCCAAACCCACATCTGATTTCAAGCTGAATGTTGTTTTTAGTATACTAACCACCTTCTTGATAGCTTCCTCTACACAGCATTGCTACAGATAGGGGTCCCTATTGGCCAAGGAAACATTAATTGGGTGTTTGGGTACCTTCCAGGCACATTCAAAGTGTGTGCCTTTATTTCTTCCCTTGCATCCTTAATATTTAAGACGTTCGGAAATACAGCATTCTGTGATATATCTCCTACCCTTCATCTAATCATCAGCAAGTGCCGTTTGCTTTACCTTCAACTCTTCCTAGATCTGACCTCTTCACCCCTCCTCCTGTACCACTTTGATCCAGGCCACCCTTTTCTCTTATAATAGCTTCCCAGCTGCTCCCATGGGCTCTGATTTCACTCTTTCCTCCCTACAACCTAGTGGCCACCCACCATTCAAGTGAGGTTAACTCTAAGTCTGATCAAGGCATATCAGTCCCTTTATCACTCACAATAAAATCGAGTCCTCACAAGTATGATCTGCTTATTTTATTTGCTGGCTACTTCTATGATCTCGGCTCCTATCACTCTCCCCGTGGCTCACTCGGCTCTGTTCACACCAGCCTCCTCTGCTATACTTCACACACATCATTTCAGGCCCCTTTGTCTTTGCAGCTCTCTAAGCCTAGATCATTCTTTCCCAGATTTATCTGTACTAATGCTCTCCCTTTTCATTCAGATCTCTGGTCAATTATACCCTGATTCTCAGAGGTCTTCTTTACCCACCCCAAATAAAGTAGCACCTCCTTCACCCTCTATCCCTTCATCCGTGCTTTATTTTCACATAACACCTGACATATTTTTTAAGATGCATTTTAAATATATATTCATATATTTGTTTATTGTCAATCTTCCACCATTAAAAGAGAAACTGGCCAAGAGTAGGGACTTTGTTCTTTTTACTGCTGGACTGGGAGGGTGCAGGACAGAGCCTAACAAAATAAGCATTTACCAATCATGTGAATGAATCTTTCATTTACATTCTTAAGCACTTTTTGCTTCTGTTAGTTTTCCTCCCTTATAGCACTATTATAATTCCAGCCAGGCTTTTAAGCAAAGATGGTTTTTATAAGTGAATACCTTTTACTTACTGCAATTGCTAAACAAATGTTAATCATCATTACGAGGGTTTGCTATAGGGGCCACTGTGTTTAAAGCATAGGGGAAGCGGACACTCCAGCAAGTCCCAAAGTGAATCCTACCAAGAGTCTGTGCACAGAGAAAGTGGCCGGGGAGGAGGTGGGAGCAAGGGCAGAGCTTAGAGGAAGAGGGAGGAATGAGGTTTTGCTTGAGTTGAATTGAAACTGGCATTGTCAATGGAATTAAACCTGTTCTGTAATCTCACGTACCTCCTTACCCTGCCTGCCGTCCACCCACAGCAGTAAAATATTTTACACTTCCGGGTTCTAGACTTATTAAACAAAGACGCATTTTTTTTTTTTTTTTGCAAATCAAACTTCAAGGCTGACTTTATTATCCTCCCCTCCCATTTTTATTATTGAATAAATTTTCCCTGCAATATGGGCTGGGTTTTTTCCTGTTGTCATGACATTATATGTTTTGACCCAAGTGATCATTTTCTCTCAATGGAGGGTGGATAGAAAAAAAAAAAAAAAATCCCACACTGGGATGATGCAAGTGGATGAGCTTGCCGACTAAAATAAAATATTCTTCCTTTTTGCCTTACAGGCCAGTCTCACTGGGCACATCCAGTTCAGAGGATGCTAATATAAACCTTGCCCACCTCTCTCAGCCCGTCTGTCTTACTCAGACAGTTTCCAAGCAGCTCTCTGATGGAGACACAATCTTCAGTTTCCAGGACAAACTGTGCCACGGCCTTCCATCCTGGCAGCTGGCCCCGCACGGTCTCACCTTTGACACTGTCCAGGGCCACTCCTCTGATGTCTTTGGGCTTACCCGGCACCCCAAAGATGATAAACAGGCCCAGACAATCCTCTCCTATCAACTTACAGAATTCTTCCAGCTTATCAAATCTACTTTTCCTGGAGGGCTCCTCTGCCCTGGATTCCGGAGATGAGAAGTCACAGGGCTTAGATTCCATAGGAGGGAGAGAAGACATTTGCAGAGTTTGCACCACCAGCTGAAGCCTGATCTGTTTCTCGGATCCCCAGAAGGTCCAAATCCAGTCTGCCCCAAACAGTACAGCTTGGTGCTTGGTCATCTTGGTGGTGGTGAGCCACTCGTCCACTCCCTTGTCTTGGCAGAAAGAGACAAAGTGGATTAAGAAGATCTCATTCAGAGTGTTGGAAGCCGGGCACAGATTGCTCAGAGGATCTTCAAATCCAAGATACTCCTTCACTTTCTGAGCTGCATGGACTATAGCCTCGCTGACGACCTCACAGACGCTGGAAACCTCTTTGCTGTCCTTCAGAGGCAACTGTTGCGATGAGTTTTGCCCCATTTTGTCTGCACCCAATCAAAACTGCTTCCAGAGATCAAACATGTGAAGCTCATTCAGAATGACTTCTTCAGAGTAAAAGTTTTTACCACGAAGTCACGTCTATTAATGCGGTCCCAGTTTACCGACTCAACATTGACGAAAAGAGTGGTGTAGCTGAGCATATATACACACAGCTAAACAAACATGTTAGGTGTCCCTGTTTGCCAACGAGGTGTGTTGTATTCATACAGATTTCCTGCTGGTTTATTAAGTTAGAGATGATTAACTCTGACTGAAAACATCTGTTCTTCTCTAGTGATATTCACTCTACTTCTAATATTGGGCAATCTCTTCCAAGATAGGTTTCTGCTTTTCAAATTTTACTTAAATTAAAAATAGTATTGAGTTCTTTGAAGAACCATACGCCTCCTTCTAAAACTAACTTCTTCAACTTTGCTGGCGAGTCATTTCCCTTTGCTTTTCTAATAATCCCTCCGCCGTGATTCCTTACCACCCAGCCCAGCTGCTTGTTTCCTTTTGTACAGAAATTCCTCAGAGTCCTCAAATTTCTACCTGTTGATATATGCTATAACCCTTCCCCTAATAAATTTATGGGAGTTTGCAAATTATAAAGCGTTTGTGTCACTGTTCTATATATCAGAAATAAAGCCAACTGGGTATTCTGAACAAAGGAAAATAAAGTATCAGACCATAAAAACAGGAGACAATTATCAATTGACTTTATTTCTTTTCATATGGTAATACCAGCAGTGTACAATGTTTTGTAAATAAAATATATATCATCAAAAAAATTTTAACTTTATCACGTATCATCAGTTATGTTACACTGCCCTGAATAAAGAATATTTGGCATCTATAACAGTCTCCTGGTATTTTTTTTTAACCAGGTTTGAATAAGAAATTGTTTTTCAAATGGTGACATATGTTCACATTAAAATAAAGCACTAATATGTAAGAGCCCAATACAGTTACCAAACGATGAATGGTAGGGAGCAAAAGACTATTAATTAGCATCAGATCATTTTAGTCACGAATAAACAGTAATTTGGTATTACAGGCCCTTGTTGGAAAGCTTGGTAACCTGCTAATAGCTTGCAAGATCACACCACTGACATTTAAATATAATTTATAAGCAAATCCACTGGCACATACTGAACTGCCCATCCCCATGCCAATTTATGAAAACCTGTCTTTACCAAGTTGGCTATCGTGAGAAGTGATGTAGTAGTGAATAAAAAATAGGATTTTTTTTGAATTCCCCTAAAAAAAAATGATAAACACAGTAAGTTTTTGCCACGGCTCTCCCCTTTAGAGATGCTGTCTGGGCCCTGTGCTATAGAAAAACATGAACTACATTTTCTCATCACAGTACAGCCATTCTAAAACTCATTTTGCAGCCTCAGCGTTATTGAACTCTGAGACAAAATGTTCAGACGAATATTCAGCTTAACAAAATCCCATTCATTGATAGCCTGAGAAATGTACAATCAATAACAGTAGGTACATTGTTAGTATTTTGATGTAATGATATATTTAGCAGGAAGGAAAATAAGCAGCTTAATACTGTAAAGGTTTTTGTTTAGGTTTGGTTTCTTCAGAAATCATTTCTACAAATTTGGGGGGAACTTCTGAATGCATTCGCGTTAATAGTATTTAAACATCCCTGGCGTTCTTCCTTTTGAGGTGAAAGGATCCAAGATGGAGGTTGAAACTTTTTTAACTCTTCAACATTGGGTGATGTGTCATCAAAGAAGGGGTATTTCATATATCTTAATTTAGATGGGATGATCAATATTAATATCATTAAAATTCAGTTGTGGAGAAGGAGAGATCATCCCAACCTCTCCAAGGACCAGCTGGTATATGACCATTTTGATCACTGTATTTGCTTTTCACCATCTTCCGTATGTCACAAAATAAAAGTTCTATTTTCTATGTACTAAATATATACACGTATTTAGAAAAATATATAAAATAGGACAATAAGAGGCAAGTGGAGGTGCGGCTGGCATTTAGCAGGCACACTGAACGCGTGAAGAAATCCCACATACTGCTTTTGGAAGCATGTAATGTCCTGCTTTGACGGCCGCAGGGTTGTCACACAGACGTGACAAGATCATCCACGCACTGCTTCCCGCTTCCCAAATCCTGCGTACTGCTGAATGTGAACGTGAAACGCTAGGTAAAACACTCGAATTAAATGCAACACTTTAAATATAATATATCACACATTTTTACATTAAATATAGAGGACAATTATACTCTCATTCACCAGTGTCTCATTTTTCATGGCATCTTCAAAATAGGTACCCACCCTCCCCCCCGCTTCCCGTTTCCACTTCTGAGAAGGTGGAATGATAAACCGTATACAATCTGCTGCTTGTTAGATCTTCTGCGAGCTGTTTGAGAAATCAGGTGGAGAAAAGACGAGGGGCTCCTCATGCTCAACCAAGTGCTTGGCTTAAACGTTGGAGTCCTCGTCAGTAATGCTGGCGCTGGGGGAACGGGCGGCAAAATCTCGAAACATGTCATCCTCCTTTAACATGTGCTGGAAAACAAGGAGATGGGGGTCACGCACCCTGGGAGCCAGGAGCTTGGCACAACACATCCTCCACTAAACATGAGTCCTTTGGGGTTATTTTTAAACATCTTTTTAGAATGACATTTTATTTTTTATCTTATTATAATTTTTAAAGATTTTATTTTTAAGTAATCTCCACCCCCAACATGCGGCTCGAACTCACAACCCCAGGGATCAAGAGTCGCATGCTCCACCAACGGAGCCAGCCAGGCGCCCCCTTAGAATAACATTTTATTTTTTTAGATTTTTTTTTAATTTTATTTATTTGAGACAGAAAGAATGCGAGAGAGCAAGCACA